GCCACAGCCCGACATCAGCACCATCCCCCTCCTCTTCCCAAAAGGCAGCCGCCACCTCTTCCGCGTAATAATCGTCATCCCCATCCAAATCCCCTGCCACAAAATCCCACGCCAAGTATCCCCCCGACTCGTCTGACCAATCGTCCCACTCCCACTCTCCCGCCTCGTGACACCCCACCATGTCCGGCCCCAGCACCTTCAGCTTCCCACCGAACCTCTTCACAACCCTCTCGTCAAGGTCCACGTTCCAGCAGCCCCGAATATCGAGCAGCGTCAGCCTCTTGCAGTTTCTCAGGATCTCGAGCACGCTTGAAGTGGTCACGAGCATGTACGCCATCTCTAGATGTTCGAGCTTCGGCATAGTGGTTGCAATCGCACGGGCCTCGTCCTCCTGAGAGTGCATGCTGATGACCTCGAGCGGGTGCATCACGCGTTTCAAGGTGGTCAGGGACTTGCAGCTTTTGCCGATGGATTCGAGGGCTGGGGCCCCCAGGTTGTTGCAGTAGCTCAGGTCTAAGGAGGAGAGGGCAGATAGCTTACTGGAGATTGTTTCGGTTATGGAGTCGGTTATAGAGCTCCTCGTCAGGCACAGAGTGTGAAGAGATTGAGCGCTAGCAAGTGAGAGATAGGTTGTTATGTAAGAATACGAAAAAAAAATAAAAGTTTGGGATTTGAAAAAAGTATGCAAATGGAAAGAATAACAGATGTTTGGTGTATTTATAGAGATATGAAAATGACAAGAATCTTCCTCATTAATTCTTCCGTTTTGATTGTGTCATTCTAGGCATTTGAGTTTTGTTACAATTTAAATCTAAATATTTTTTTAGAGGATGACAGGATATTATGGTAAGATAATATTAAGAAGTGCAAAGATTCATTAAGAATATTATTGACTGATCAGATGTGTATATGTCAAATTTTCATGTTCCTAGACTATAAACGAAAACCCTAAACCAACACGTACTCTAAGCTGGAAAAATACATACAATTTCAAGTTGGAAATCCTATGATCACGTGCTTCTATTGATTTATATTTTCGTACAGAAAGATTCGGAAAGGCTATTTTATTATTTTGCTCTTTCCCCTGTGCTTGGGTAGGCCATTACCAACCAATTATCATATCTAGTGCAGTTTTAACGATAAACTAATGCACCTCGTGCTGAAGTTTAAATTCATCTACTTTTTAAACTGAATATTCCTTATCATTACAACAAGAGAACAAATTTGTTAGAAACGAGCTACTTATTTAGATGGCACTACGATTACATATTTACTTGTCAAATAATATCTATGACATATTTACATTCTGCATGCATACACAACAGTGAATAACTTAGAGCAACATGGGAAATTAATGTGTTACATAATATGCTTTGTGTGTCTAATAATTATAAAAATGCAAAGCATCATGGACCTCATCAACGTCTGTTATTCACCAAGCTAATTACAAAATGGTGCAAAACCTTGCATCACTTTCCTTTTTCTTTTAATTCCATGCCGTGTTCGACTTTAATTAATAACCGATGCCATAAAGGTTTATTAATTATGATAATGGCATATATACTTTTTGCAGATAAAACATTCATTAAATTTAATTATCAGAATCTATAATTTTATCATTAATATTAATTGTTTATTATTGTGTTAATAACTTATTTTACTAATTAGAACCCGAAGTAAGATAAGAAAACACCCAAACTAGCACTGGTTATAGCACATGCATTGAAAGGGTTCCAAACTCTACGTCACAGATAGCACAGTGAATGGAGCAGCCATTAGTTAAACCATTAACAACACCATGCTCTCATGGACTAAATCTATCTATATTCTATTAATAATGTGACATATTTTAAGGTAATTACTAATTAGCGAGAAACACCCTCTTTGTCTTATAAATCAAGGCATTCAAATTTCACAGTAACTAAAGATACAATAACAAATTATTAATCAAAACACTTACTGATTTGCGATGAGCAAAATGCTTTGGTCATTCGTGATACCCGAAACAGTTAACTTTCGGGGAGAACCACCGCTTCTTGAAATCAATAATCGAAGCATTCGGTCAATGATTTCGGGGTTACGGTTTTTGCTCCATTCCTCGAGGTCTATCTCTTGCCAACAATAAGGCCCAGCCACTGTTTTTCCCCACGACTTGCAAACTCTTGGCACTACAGTCAGTACCTCTACAAATGAGAGATTCTTGAATATTAGGCCAAGCGCATCGGGTATTAATTCGTCCCATTTCCGAATATTGCTTTCCTCGCCCATTTATCTAGATCAATTTTTGTCAATTGGAAAAAATCACCTGCAAGGAAAAAAGAAAAGGAAAAAAAGTATTCAATTGCACATCGCATTAAACGGTTCAACATAACTACGTATATAAAAGAGAGGAAGTTTGCCACTGAACCCTTGTATCTAAAGTTACCAAAACCAACATTTTAGTGTGTTTGTGTTTTTCTGTGTTTCTAGTGTATTGCCCTTTTGGGGTCGTTTCTAGGCGGTCCTTTGACCTGTTCTCCTTGTTTTTCAGCTGTTGGCTGCTTGTATTCAGCCGTTGGCTGTCTGTATTCAGCTTGTAGCTGTACCTTTGCACGTTTTGTGCGCATTTACATACTATCTCTATCGTTTCGAAAAAAAAAAAAAATTATAAGGAACAGTACTTGTAATCTGAAACCCTCATTGCAGTCCATCAAAACCTGTTATCATTTCCTAACACGAGCTCGGTTGCATGCTCGGAAAAGATATGTTAAAAACTATATACTATTGATTAACTTAAAACTAATTTCAGATTTTCAAACCTTTGGAACTCCACAAAAGGGCGAAAAAAGGAAAAAAAGATGCATGAAGCAGGGAAGATGATGAAGAAGACATAGATAAGGTGAAGAAGCACTTGAGAATTCAGAATATCTCAAAAGAAAAAACACAACAGAACCCATTTCATATTAACATTTCAATTTCCAAAGAACCCATATATTAGAATTCATAATTGAATTGAGAAAAAAAATTGAAAATCTCACAGAGCATTTTAGGGCTTCAAAAATGGAGAACCCATTATCATATGAACGCAATTTTCCAGAAATATGTAGATCAGCAACAGCGAATAAGCTAAAAAGGGGATCCCAATAAGCCACCACAAAAAAACAGATTAAAAGCATGAATCCTTAAATATGAACAGCATTTTAATTGAAATCTTGATAAATTAGAAGGATAAAAAAGGCATCTTAAAAGCATTCGAGGGATTCAAGATTTACTGCATTTTGGATCGATGGATCATCACCTGCTTATCTGCTGAATGAGGAATTTTTGACGGTCGCTTCTCTTGATATTGTCTGAGCGAGAGTGTAAAATTATTGACATGCGATTTTTTTCCAATTTTTTTTTTTATTTATTTATTAAGGTGCTAAAAGTGCTATTAATATATTTTTTTTTTCTTTTTTCTCTCCAACATTTTGTTCTTAAAGATAAAAAAAAGTGAACAAATTATGTTTTGTGAAAAATTAAATAAATTTAAAATGAATAAATAAAAATAAAAATATAATAATTAAAATTAATGTGATCTAAATAATATAATATTAATTTAATAAAATCTGTAGGTAAAATATGCGAGTTGATGAATATATATAATATGTATATATATATTTGGAACGATAAAAATTTATATAACTAAAAAAACCAGACA